TGTCTCCCCCATCATCCCCCTCTCTTCAGGGAGAAATGTTACCTCAAGATTGGCCTCTGAGGAGATCAGCTTGAGTTACCTGTAGCCTCCATTTAACCAGGAAGTGAAGGTTGAAATGTCTTTGACCAGAGAAGAACAGACACTGTCCACGGTCACACACACACACAGAGTTCTAAAAGACTGGGGAACACACACTTCACACGTGTGGGTCATGAGGGACTACAGACTACAGACTACAGACACCAGCTGAACACGGCCCTCTCTCTAGTCTGTACTGCAGCTAACATTATAAATGCACTTGTTTTCCTGCCACAGTTCCATCAACCTCTCCTCACTCTCTGTCGTCCAGACCTGCTGTGTCAGCGCCCCCCCCCTCTCTGTTGTTTTGTTGCACTCCCTACTTACTGTCGTCCTCTGATTCTACTTCCTCTGTCACGCACCATATGACTCTGTTCACAACTGGTACGAAATTTTGAGACCAAGACATTTTTGTACCAACCAACACGAAGACTTCAAATGTCTTCAACTGGTGCAGATGTTTGTCAACCTGGGGATCCTGGGTTTTATATATATATATATATATATATATATATATAAATAGAATTCTAATCAAACACTCGTTTGTCAATGTTTATCTCAGGTCACTGGGTTTTGGCTCCACATAAGTCAAATATACATCAGATGATTCAGCTCGTACTGACGTGAAGCTGAGGTGAGTATTTAAACTCCTATAATTTACTCTCATCCTCCACACAGAGGCATCACCATACTAACACCTAACCCACTCAGTTTTGATACAGATAAAACACTGTGTGTTTTCAGCTGGCCAAAGGTCTCTCCCTCGGAGGAGAGTGTAACAGAAAGGTGGGGAGCAGATGGCGGGGAGACAGAGGAGCGAGAGGAAAGGGAGGAACACACAGTGTGAGTGTGCGTTTCAGCTTGTCAACACATGGATATTTCCTGCACAGAGCTCTGTCTCTCTTCATATCTCACCCCGGTGTCAGGGGAGTGGGCGGTAGGCCCCGTCTGCAGAGACCACACACACATTCAGCCTTCAGAAAGCCAGCCTTGGCACTGCTGCCTGTTATGGTTGTACGTGGAAGTAACACATGCTGCAGTTTGGGGTACTATCAGTGTGGGCCGGGTCCAGTCAGTCAAATTCACATGTGCAGTACGAGCGGTCCACACACTGGTACTGGAGTTCCACGGTGCTGTGCAGCATCAGAGCAGATGTTGACAGCTGTGAATCTTGACTGTCATAGGCCGATAATGTAACGCTAGGTCACATAGTTTCACAGATTACCGTAATTTCTGGACTATTAGCCACTACTTTTTTCACATACTTGTGTAATTTATTTTATTTTTACGGGCTAGCGAAGTTCATACCACTAGCAATGATTTTTCTGGTCAACGGGCTAGCGAAGTTCATACCACTAATCATACAATGATTTTTCTGGTCGGCTACTGTGGGTTATACTGGTGACGTATGTCTGTCTGTGAATGAGCCTGGAAACATAAGGCTCATTATTTTAATGTAAGTTACAAAAAAAGTCTCCTGTTTATATACACACAGCCACGGCTGGCCTATAGAGGGCGCCCAAACCCTTGTATTTTTTAAATAAATATATTTAAAAAATAAACAATAATCACTTCTTTTTAATAACGTGTGTGTTTAAAACTCACCACAACATGCCACATATAAAACAGAACAGAATCCAGTGGCTTAAAGTCGATTATTTTGTCGCCACAAGCTGAGCAGCTGTGCACATCTGCCACAAGGGGTCACTAGTGTATCATCTGTGTGTAAAAATCTGTAACTATGATTCAGTGATGTGTTTACATGTTCAGTTTTAATCTATCTCACAGCACTGGTATCCTGCTGTCTGTGTTCAGTTGTTTTGGCTCAGACCTTCATGGAATATTAGTCACCGGCCGCCACTTTGTGAAAAATAATAATAATAATAAAAGTTCTGCTTTTTAAAAAAAATAATATATATAAATAAATATCAACATTTTTTAAAATTAAGGTCAACCAATCAAAACTTACTAGGAAGTGGTGGGAGGAGTCAGTGGTGATGTCATCTCAGCAGGTGTTCCTAATCAGTTGATTACCAAACACAGGTGTGTGTCGTTAACTGCCACATACTGTAGGGGGCACTGATGTGTTAGTATTCATCTACAGTTTGGTCTGGATTACAATTGCATGACGAAATTTCAAGGAATTTTTATTTTTTTTTAATTGTATTTATTTATTTATTTTATTAAAGAGGTCAAAATGAGGAGCCTGAAGAGCTGGACTGTGGAATAAACTGACAACAACAGACAGTCAACATGGACTGACAACGACGGTTGTTTCACTTCAGGGCCTTTCAAGAATTCTAACCATGGTGACCCAGCAGCAGCAGCAGCAGCAGCAGAACCTCTGACCCACGTCCACGTCTCCGGTGAGTCCTGCTGTTGTTCCTATATCGTTCATGTCTGTGCTGAGGCCGGCTGCTGTGGGAGACTCCGTCCTCAGTCACACAACAACTGTTGTCTGTCTGCTGGAGGAGTGGCTTAGTGGTTAAGGAAGTGGCCTTAGGTCTGGAAGGCTTCAGGTTTGAGTCCACCAGCTGCCAAGTTACCACTGAGGAGCTCTGAGCCTGGCCCACTGCCCACACACTGCTGCCCACTGTTCACTTTGGTGATGGGTTAATATCCCTGTGTTATAAAGACTATAATTGTTTTTTACCCACACACTGCTGCCCACTGTTCACTTAATTATTATTGTTTTTATTTTTTTTACCACGTTTTCACGTCAGTGTTTCCTTACACTGTAACGGTCGCCTGTTGGTCCAGTGTTGTATTCCTGTGGAATACAACAGTCAGTTGTAGTCCAGAGATGTTGAAGCAGCAGCAGGAGTCGGAGGAGGAGGAGGAGTCTGAGGAGGAAGAGTCTGAGGAGGAGGCCTGATCAGACTAATCCCATTCTTCTGATTCTGGTTGCAAATGTGTGGAAAACAATTCAAGTCTGCGTCATAAATGATGGCGTTGCACCATTAAGCTCATAATTGATGATTCTGTGGTGCCACACATGCAGTAAATGACTGGAACAGCGTGCGTGGTAATCCAGTGAGTGGTGTTGATTAGAATTTATCCCAAAATGATTTTGTAAGTGACTCAAACCGGCTTTATTGAAATTCTTTGAACGCTGATATAATTTGATATTTTCCTCAGCAGGTTTGAGTAACAGATGCCGATGATTACTTTCTCTTCCTCGGTTGGTTTTGATTACGACAGACATGTTGACATATTTTCTTAGGTAATCCCTTCGAAGAAAACACGTAAAAACAAACACTGCGGACCTGGTAGCAATACAGGGAGGAGAAGTAAACACGCTTTGTACCAGCCGTAATTGAGTGTTTACTGTGATGACGCAAGAACATTTGATTCAAAAATATTCCAACAACAACAGAAACAAAAACATATTTGAAGACTTTGCAGGCCTTAGTGAAAACCAAATAGCTCCTGGCTCTTTTTGGAAACTCATCTGGTGTGAGGAACGTTGTGTGCTGCACGTTATCTCCACGTTGGGCTGGGTTTGTGGGCCACGTCTGAGAGGACGATCAGGACGGACAGGACTAGACGTGAGCAGAGAGGGAGTTTTAAAGAGGGATAATGGATGAAGTGGAAGGGAACGGTAATGTCATTGGTGGGAGAGAGGGGGAGACGAGTGATGGGAGGAGGAGGTGACACAAGAGGGAGAGGTTTGCACTTGTTGTCTGTCGCTTATAATAAGAAGTCCTGTATACACTGAATGAGGAAAATAATTTAGAAATATGTTGTGTATATGTATCACTTGTTGTCTGTCGCTTATAATAAGACGTCCTGTATACACTGAATGAGGAAAATCATTTAGAAATATGTTAGAGTTTATGGCTGGAAGGTGTGAGAAGAGGTCAAAGGTTATTAGGATTTTTTTTTTTTTAGAAAAGAAACTTGGTGAAAGTGTGTGACCCAAATCTCAAACTTAAATTTCCTGGGGACCAATGAGAGTCCAAATCCTGCCAAATACTGGACTACTCAGAATATTTAGATATTTATTGATTTTGTTTTCTTCTCATGTCTAAACTTTCTGTCAGAGAGCTTAAACACCGGCTGCTGATCTGTGGAAAATTAGTCTTGTATAAAACTGTTCTGTTGTGAGTGTTCAAACACACTGGTGTGTCTTCACGGAGGCTGTGTGCAGGAGGAACGGTAATGAATTGATCCAGACGGAGCAGGAGAATCCTTCAGCTGCTGAAAATTGAAAAACATCTCGTCTCCGGGACCAGGAAGCATTTTTCAACGTGACAGTGATCAAGCATAAAACCAAATTTGAGAAGGAGTTGGAAAAAATGACTTAAGTCCTTCTGTGACTCAGCCGGGCTTGAAAGTGATTTGGAAATGTGTTGACTGAGTTAAAGACGAGTGTGAAAGTGCTTCCCTGATGATTAAAGTTAGATTAGAGAGAAGATGAACAAAGTCACACTGGGAAAAACCTGGTGTTTCTGAGAAGCACCTGACATGATGTGATTTGTGCTTCACGTTTCCATAAAATATGAAAATGAACTCTCGTCACGGGTCGTGCTGCAGTGCATCATGGGTTTGTAAACAGCCGTGATGTAGTGTGTAATACTGTGGCTCAGACGCAGGGACTGTAAAAGGGAACGGGAGCTTCCCCCTAAATCATCTCTGCCTCAGGTTTGTTGTCGGGAAGTTTTCGGCCACATTCTCATAAATAGCTCAGCGTCCTGTGGTGACACCTTGAATGGATTTCCATAAACCTAACACATCAGAATATGAGGGGAGAGTGAGGAAGAGTCTCCATTTATCAATAAACTATCTGTCTACACCGGCTCATCCCTGGAAACAGAGCAGGCCGTGTGTGTGTGTGTGTGTGTGTGACAAGTGTGAATCACAGGTGACTGTCGCATCAGGGTTTTTTTTTTTTTCTTTTCCATCCTCCGTGCGTCTCTTACTTTTATCTTATAAATATATAAAATTCATAATTTAGAAACTCCTTTCACAGCCCAGTTCACCATCAAACACTCATACAAACCAAGAACACTGAATATATTCTGATGGAATAAACTAAAAAGTATTTTTCTCCTCGCTCGTTTTTTCCTCTTTTCTATCCAGATTTGTCCTACTTTTCTGTCTGCTTGTTCTCAGAAACGTTGGCACATTTGTCATCGGAACTAGTCCGTCTTTAATTGAATGCATTGTAAAAAGAAAAAAAAAGTTTTAGGTGTTATTTCTAATATCTAACCATCCATCCATCCATCCATTTTCATCCGCTTATCCGTTACCAGGTCGCGGGGGCAGCAGTCGCCACCCAAATCACATTGCACCGTACCAACCCCCCAAACCTTCCTGCGGGTGGTGAGTCCACTGATGCGTATTAACCACCCTAACCGGGATTCGAACTTGCGCAGGAGGTGAACCCTGAGGTTCCACACCAAAGACAGAGACATTGCCTCTAGGCCAAAGCGCCACTAATATCTAACCAGTTAGATGTAAATGAATGAACTTCAACATGCTCCAGAAAGTTAGAACAGAGAACTACACGTTGATGATCTGTAACTACGACATGTGATCGAGGCTCCATCAGTAACTGTAGATGAAATATGACTGTGTTGGAGGGAGTGGGGGTTTGAACACCTGAACAGCTTGGCTGCAGCTGTTATGAGAGAAAATCTCTGGAGTCGACAGATGAAATATTAATGACAGGAAGTCTGAAATAGAATTTTATTTTTTTGGTTCCAGTTTGACACTGAGATCAACAAAGTCCTGGATTCAGGACTAATCAGAACAGATGTTACTCTTGTACAGACTGATTTTCTTTAGAAACTCAAAGCTGACTCTCACCCCTGGACCTTTCATCACTCCTCTCCAGACGTTTCTCACTTCTCCTATCTCTGCTCCTCCCTTTTTTCCACTCTTTCTTCCTCCTCCTCCTCCTCCTCCTCCACCAGGTTCTTGGCACAGCCTGGCAGTCGCCCACCTTGTCTAACTAGCAGGTTGATGTGTCTGTGAAGTGTGTATGTATCCTCACTTTGTCTCTGTGTGTGTGTGTGAGAGAACAGATGTGTGTGTGTGTGTGTGTGTGTGACCAGCAGAAGTCTAGACGTGGTTTCCTCTCCTGTGTTTGTCTTTCTCCTCTGGCCAGCTGATCTGTTCAGCCTGGAATGTTGGTGCTACTGCTGCCATACTGCTAACACACACTCTCTCTGTTTCCCGGCAGCCCCCCCTCCCCCCCCCCCCTCTCCTCCTACTCCTCCCCCCCTGCCACCCCTTTATCTCTGCGTGCAATTTATTTCTCCTCTTCCTTATCTCCACATATCTTCCAGTTACCTCTCTGTCAGACTCTCCCTGTTCCTCCCTTGCATCATCCTCCCTCTCTCCCCTCGTTCCTTACCTGTACACACACACACACACACACACACACACACATCATCTCGACTGTTTAATGTCTCTGATGCCCAGCTTCATGCAGCCTCTCCTCCATACTCCAGCTTTGATTGTCTTTTTTTTTTACTCTCCTCCCTCTTTCACTCCCGTCCAAAACCTGACTTCATTTTCCTGCAGACAAAGTTCCTTTCACTGCATGTCTGCTGGCATCTGACCAGCACACTTATATATGTGTGTGTGTATACAGTCTTTTATTAAAGTTTCTGCATTTATGAAAAACCTGGTTTTTACTGTGTGTTTTCACCTGTGTGTCTGACACCGGAGGATTGGAGAACTGGAAACACTCAAAGTCTGAATTATAATTATTCATGATTAAAATGAAGTTTTCTTTATTCACTTCATGCTGTAGAAACACAAACATGTTTCTGTCAGTGTGTGTCAGATTTAATGTTATGACTCAGAGAACACACACATGTGAAAACATCCATTAAAACCTCTGTGGGTCTTAATACACTTTTTGGAAAGTTATTATTTTTATTATTTGTTTCATTCTTTTATAATTTCTTTGTGAATAAGTTCCTCATTCCAAGTTTGAAGGTTAACTTTGATTTATCCACCTGTTTCTTGGACTTCTTGGTTTCAAACCTCTTCCTTGTGTCACCATATTTTCAGTGCTATTTCCTGAAACACCTGTAGGGGGAGCGGGGGTTTGGGGGGGTCCAAACTGTTTCTTCTGTTTCTCCCCACTGGTCGTTTCTAGCTGCAGTAATCAGACATTTCCTCCTTTAACACAGTTCATATTTACCTTGAAGAAGAAGAGGAGGAAAGTGAAGCGTTTTCCTGACTGTGTTTTTAGTCTGGAGACTCTGCTGCTCTCTGCACTGACTTCATATTTCTGACATATTAGCTTTTCATGATGAGTGTCCTTCACGTTCTCTCTTCTCTCTTGGTCCTCACTCCTCTCCTCCCCCTTCCTCCCCACTTCACCCTGAGTTTCATTGTTCCTCCCTGC